CAGCCCAGACAATACCTTGAACGCAACTTTGTGATAGTCTGAGTGTGTAGTCATGCTCAGACTCCATCCATGTGTGGCTTTACCCTACAAAACTTATGGCAATTTGTTGCACAGTAATAGAAACATAGGAGGTCAGTAACTAATTGAGAGATTCTAAACAAAATTTAAATTTTGCAAGATTTGCATATGCTACTGTTATCTTGATAGCTTTTCAATAATCTAATGAGTTTTCTAATCTAACAAGATTGGTGATGGTGGTAATATTATTTTTTAATGTTAAATGATGAAATTTGTATACAGCGTAAGATCTGCATAACTGTGAACCAATGTTTTCAAAATTGCCTAGGTAGGCAGCTATACAAGCATACCTGGGTAAAAGTGCAAAATACACCCAAAAACTATTAAAAAAAAAAAGGTTTAAAGAGACTATTATTTGAAATTTGTACCTGTTCTACATTTAACTTTGCATTTATACAGCTCTTTGCTCTATGGCTAGGTTTTCTTCTTGGTTTCCCTATGTATTTTTAAACTTTTAACTTTGGAGTAATTATAGATTGACAGATGATGTAAACAAATACACATCTTGACCATCTTCACCCAGCATCCTCCAAAGCTAACATCTCACATAAACCATAGTACAATGTGAAAACCCTTAACCTGATATTAGTTAATCCATATAATTTATTCATATTTCACCTCTCATGTTTGAACTCATCTATGTGTTATGTGTATAATGCTATAATATTGTGTCACACATGTTAACTTCATGTAGCCATTGTCACCTTAAACATATTCCAGCACATTCTCATCTTTTATAATCATGCTTATCTACTATTCTCACCCACATCCCTAACTTCTACCAACCACTGATCTGATTCCAACCTTAGTCGTTAGGTGTTGTGAAGTCTGTTTTGACTCATCAACCTGATGTACCAGAGAATGAAGCATGGTCCAGTCCTGTGGCACCCTCACAAGTGCCGCCCTGTCTAAGTCTAATACAGCAGCCGCCGAGTCAGCCCCTATAGTTGAGGGTCTTCTTTTTGTGTTGCCGATCATCTACTCGACCCAGCATTATGTCCTTCTCCAGGGGCTGGTCCAACCTGATATTACTTCCAATGAACATGAGATGGAATCTGGCCATTCTTGATCCTAAGGAGCATTGTTTTTCTCTAGGGGAGGGCATCGTTCTTGGCAATATAGAGGATCAGTAAACAGAAGAAGAAGGATATTTTTCAGGTAAGGGTGATTTCATTTGCTTATAAAAATATGTTTATAGTTCTTGAGTACATTTTAATTATTGTTGTGGAGGTTGGAATGGCCTTCTGTTTCAAAAGTTTGCCGACCCTGGAGATAAACTAATACAGGATACCACAGTGAGCTCAAGGATAGCAACAAGTGTTCGGTTGGAACAGACAAGGGCAGTGTTGTGTTGTGTTGTCATAGAGTCCCTGTGAGTCAGAACCTACTCAACAGTCTCCAACCACAATAAAGTTCTGCTCTCTCATGAGTGCTCTATACATGCAACTATGTATTTCTATCCTTTTGATATAGATGTCCTTTTTCACTCAGCATGACTTTCCTCTATGTTTCCTTCTTTTTAATTAAAGAAATAGCTATCAATAGCCTGTTCCTGTGTGTTGATGAATCTATGTCCCGGTATACCTTGTCTTTAACGATTTACACACTGAATGACATTTGACAGTTTCCAGTTTGGAGATAGTTCTAATAAGACTGTAGTGACATTTCAAGTCTCAGTTTTCATGTGAAAACATACAGCTCAAAAATTTAATTGCTGAGCCTTATTTTAAGTCTATTTTTATATTATTTCAGAGTGATTATACCATTTTATATTGCAGTCATTGCTACTGTTCTATATTTTATTTATTCTTATAAAGTGTTAGTGATATTTTCTTATGGTTTCAATATTGGTTCAATGGAATTCTTAGCAAGATCCTCATTGACTTGTTTACAGAAATTGATAAGTTGAGTTGAAAATGTTTATAGAATTCTAAGAGACCCACGTGGTAAAAGGAGTCCTGGTGCCGCAGGGGATTCTGAGTTGGACTGCTAACTGCTAGGTTGACAGTTTGAACACACCAGGTACCCACAGGAAAAGGATGAGGATTTTTACTCCTATAAAGATTACAGCCTGAAAACCCAATGGGCAGTTCTACTCTCTCTGACAGGGTCACTCTGAGTTGGAATCCACTGGACGGAAGTGAATTGATTTTTGTTTTGTTTCATTTTCAAGTAGCAATAGCAATCTTGAAAAGTGCAAAAAATTAGTAGGATACGTGGTTCCCACTTTTAAAACTTATTCTAAAGCAATGGCAATTGAGACAGCAAAGTAGACATAAGAATAGGTCCAAGGACTAGAATTGAGAATTGAGACCCACACATCTAATCAACTTAGTTTTGACAAGGATGTAGCATGATCAAATGGGAAAAAAATAATAGTCTTTTCAACACATGGGACTGTGCAACTGAACAGCCACGTGTGAAAGAACTTGAACAATGTTAAAAACAAAAACTAAAGCCTCAAAACAGATTAAGATCTAAATATAAGATCTAAAGCTGTAAGAATCTTAGAAGAAAACTTAGGGAGAGTCTTCACTACTGCAAGTTAGGCACACAAAATGCACAAGTGAAGACAAAACAAAACAAAAGTAGACAAATTTAAAATTTGTGTGTTTCATATGTCACCATCAACAAAGTACCAAGATCATTAACAAGATAGGAGAGAATATTTTAAAATCACATATCTGATCATGGATTGGCTGAGAACCAATGACTCTCATTTTTCATCTGCCACTTAGAAGCTTTTAAGAAAGCTTTCTGTCTTGCTAATGGTGACATGTTGCAATGGGGAGAAGGGTGGCATTGTAGTCATAAACTTCTGGTTCTAATGACTCGTATAAGGACCTAACGAAGGAGATTACACATCACTTAGAGATTTCAGACATAGAGAATGATGAGGAAGAGAGTCTAATGTCTTCTTGGACAAGGTGAATGTGAAAAGGGAGAATGTGTATATTTGATGATCGAAAGAGCAGTCTGCGGCACCTTGTGATATACTGCACTTCTATGTGTGAAGTGGAGGAAAAGATCCTGGGAGATGACATCTTTAAAGAAGTCAAGGAACTTGGTGACTTAAGGGGATAGAACTCCCCCGCCAACCCCCATTCGCCTATGTGTGTTCTGATACTCATTAGGATCTTATCATCTGTTCACTACTAGATTCGATGTTGAAATAAATAACCCTATTGTAAAATCTTTATAATTATACATGAGTGTTTTCTAAATAAATTATTAGAATAGAATTAATTGCTCAACAGCTAGGCATGTCTTTAAAGCTCTTGATTTTTCTCTACCAAACTCCATTTTGAGATATTGAAACCATGTTACATGTAATATAGGTGTGTACCCTAGAATCTATGTCCTCACACAGGATCAGCTTATTTAATTATGACTGGGCCTGCGTAATCCTTAGACTATTCTATCACTGAAATCAGCAGTAATGTGCAGCTACCTCAACATATGCATAGAACCAGTGACATCATCTCTCCTGCCGGTTTGACAACTACTCATCACTTGGTAATGACTTGTTAGACAATTTCTTTTGTACCGTTTCCAAACATCTCTTGTTCTTGCCAAAACTAGTTGGAGTGTTTGTGTATGACACAGGTGCTGCCTGTCACCTGCCTCATCCCTCCCTTAGTAATACAGGTCATCCAATCTGTCAAAAAATGGGCTTGGGGCCCCAGAGATCAGTGTAGCCTCTTTGAAATTTTCTGCTGAATTATCTGTCTCTGGAAAAACCTGTCTAAAAATCTTACATTCAGGTTATTACAGACCTAAAAACCCCAATTGACCCACACAGTAGTTTTAATTTTAAAATTCAAAAAAGAGGAGCTATACTATATGCTCATTAAATAGCTTTTACCCTCAATGACCTGCTCGTTCCAATCTTATGTGTGATAATTCACTCCACCTGGACTATGCACACCTCTTCCTAATCCTGCTGAAAATCATCACTGCTTTACATCGCTCCGTAGCTCTGCTCGAGAGCTGTGCTGGGAGAGACACTGCAGTGCGTCATATGTGAGAAAGCGTGTGGGAACATCCATCCCATCTCCTAGAGGAGATTTCAAAAGTCTCCGAGAGGAACACAGAGGTCCTTTCTCCCATCCAGGGACCGTTTCAGGCCTGTCGGTGTACCACGGAGAGCCAGCAACATGCAACATTGACATAGCTGGTTGGCGTTGGTGAGAATATGAATTGAGACAGTGAGCGTGCATCTCGCAAGTGTTTTCATGTCTGTAGGTCTTGGGGTGAAATTAGAGAGAAAAATGCGAAGTCAAACATAAATAACAGACTCAAATATGTAGAAGTAGTATATTTTGGAGTAAGGAGAAGACTATGGGAAGGGTACTAAGGTCAGAAGCAGCTTGGAGTAGAAACCACAGAAACTGAGGCATGACTCAGTCAAAGGCAAGAGCGGGACTAGGTAAAGTAACAGGGTGTTGGCATCTTGGCACACTGTCCATTGACAACCCAGAAATGACCTGTCAGCACAACCCCAGACACCCCTGCCAGGATCCAGTGACTTCTATACCACCTCTTTGCTCTCTACAGTTTCTGACTCATGATGGGTGAGTACAGAAAGGGATGAAGTAAGCCAAAGCATAGACTTTATAGAATGAAAAGTGATTTAATGGGGGCAGAACAGGAAACATGAATTTATTTGTACCCAGAATCCCTCTTTACACAACTGCTGAGCTGTTGAACACCAGCAGAGTCACCGACACCCTCTGCTTGTTTGGTGGCTCAGGAGACACTCCTGAGCACATGTAAGGGAAAGCCCATAATTTTTAGGATGCAAACAAGAAAGAGATTCTGTATCAGGGTGGTGACATGATTACAAGGTCTACAGGCAATTAAGATATGGAAGCACACAGAAAGAAGGTGCTCAGCATTTGGTGGTCAGTTCCTCAGACACATCACTTCTGCTTGGTCTTCTGCTGGCCGGGTCCCGGAGTCACTGGGGAGGGACCTGGATGTGGATAGTGGCCTGGATCAGGGATCTTGGGGTTGCCTGGCTCAGGATATTTGGGGTGGCATGGCTCTGGTTGCTTTGGGTGGCTTGGCTCTGGAACCTTGGTTTTTCCAGGTTGTGGGACTTGGGGGAGGCACGGTTCCTTGGTGATGGGGACAAATGGCTCTTGTGGAGGCAGGGAAGGCTGTTTCACCTGCTGCTCATAAACCTGAGGCGGTGGGGTGAAGGGCTGCTTCTGTTGATGGGAGTCCATGATTCAAAGGTGGCTGAACCTAGACACAGAAGAGTTGAATCAATGTTGGGCTAAACACACTGTGAAGCTCAATATCAAATATATCTCATTTCTCCCCCTTAGCCCTGAGAGTCTCTCTTCATTTCTGTTTCCTTGAACTTTAAATCAAAGCATGCTTTGAGGATTCCTGGGTCCTTTAAAGAGAAGGAGTCTCAAGGAGATTTGTTCTGCTCCCTGTGACTAGCACCCTTCTCCATGATCCTTTCTTCCTGGGTTATCTAAAACCTTTTCCTGGAAGCACAACACTGTAGGCTCCAGTATAGCTCCCATAGCCTCCCTAGGTTTTGAGTAACTTGGGAATGCGATAAAGTTAAATGTCTACCCACTCATGCTAAACACCGAAAGTGCCTGAGCTCTCACGATAAACTCGAAACCTCTCCTGAAGCCCTCACGTTCCCACTTCGGACCCTCCGTTCAGAGTCCACTCTGTGCATGCTCGCTGACAGGCTCCCCGTCCATGTGTTAAGTCGCCTTCCTTAAATTGCCACAGTGCATTATCTGTTAATCACTTCCTATGTTGTAGGTTCACACATAATTCCCCTGTACCCTGATGAATCATAGGTTTGTAAAGGAAAAAGGAAATCACTTGAACCCTCAATTTCCTAGTGCATTGCTTTGCTATTGCAAATCCCCAATAAAAATTAGAGAGAAAATAAAAATGTCACTAAAACGTACCGGGATACGGGCACCAAACAAAAACCCAAACTCATTGCCATTGAGTCAATGTGGACTCATAGTGTCCCTCTAGGGGGTTAGAACTGCCCCTGTGAGCTGGAGATTATAACTCTTTACTGGGGTGGAAAGCCCCGTCTTTCTTCCAGAGCATGAGCATACTAGTCCATATTCTTCTGCTAACACAGGTAAAATTCTTCAAGCAATTCCTACTATATACTGGTCCCAATTTGCACAGCCATGATGGTAGATGTGAACATGTATAAAGCCCACGGATGGCAATTGCATTAAACATGAAATTTAAAAATTCTTAACAATGCTAAAGAGGTTTCAGTCACTATAAAAGACTGATGGGTGAATACTAAGAGGTTCTCGGTGGGGAGACTCACCTGGTTCTCTGAGAAGAAGGGACTGTCTTGTTTCTCAGGTCTGCTGTGGAGCCTCTGGCCAACTGACTTTATATATAACAGAGGAGCCCTGCCTTAAGGAAGTGGGATTTGGAGGACCACTCTAACTTCATTCCACCTTTTGTGATGAAAATCTGGGGCTTAACATTGTTTGGCACTTGCTGTGTGGCAATGAGGTCACCCGGCTCTACCCATACTGCCCAGCCTGTGTGCCAGGGTTGTTGTGTGTGACAGGTTAATGAAAGTAGCAAATTAAATCAGAAGGAAATTATGCTGCACTTGCTAGCACTGGAAACCACCATTCCCCCTTGAATGGGAACCTGCTCGGTAGCCTGTGTCTACCCGATGGCCCTGCTGAATATTTGAAGAGGATGTGCATGAAACAATTGGCATTTATGATTCTAGGAAGCTGTGAGATTGGGTCAAAAGTGAATCACCTAATTTTCTTTTAAATGCTGCATTGAAGGGGAAAGAAAAGACTCCAATAAAAGATCTGCTTTTGATCTGAGATGCTCTCCTTCCAGAGGAAGCCATAGCAGTTTTATGGACCAAGATAGCTTAGTCTGATGTGATGGCTCAGCCCACCTCTCATTCTGGTCTTCTTCTCTGGAGTATCAGACACAAGCGAGTTGGGATTGCCAATGTCCTCTAGCGGGAGTTTCCCCGGCTTATGAGACACTGAAACTGATGTGACCACTTCAGAGATGCCTTCCGTACATGCGAGGAGGCATGGTCCTTGGAAAAATCCATGCCATTCTTAAAGCCTGGGTGTGTCTGTGGTTCCTCCCTCTTCACGTCTCTCTTGCTATGTCATCTCCCATGAACCTGAGCCCCTAGTATGACCACCACCACCAGCTCCTTCCTCTAGGTCTCCTGAATCAGTGGTCATATTTCATTCTCACACACTGCCTGGTTATAGTAGCTACTCTATCAACAGATCGTTGTTAAGCCTCTCACAAATGTCCAGATTCAAGGAAGAGAGACAGAGATATATAGATAAATAGATAGATAGATGATACATAGATAGATAGATAGATGATAGATAGATGATAGATGGATAGATAGATAGATAGATAGATAGATAGATAGATAGTTAGTTTCTTTAGAGAAAGTCCAAGAAGTCTTTCAGAGCCATAAAGAGGTTACTTGAAAATGATTCACCTCTAGGATGATGATACCAAGGAGCGGTCACAATTTAGCAAGTGACAAATGCTTCCTCAGCCTTCCCCACCCATCTCTTTTCCTCTCTGCTAGCGTTTGGCCCACTGCCTCCCTCTGAGGGTGGTGCCAGTCCCATCCTCACACCTAAGTTCAAGGACGATGGAGTTACTCTAGCAGTCATCCAGACACGAGTCTAGAACCCACTCCTTACCAGAACTGTGTCTCAGGAGCCCCTTGGGGAGGGAGCTCAAGTGAGATCCTATTGTTCCGGTTGGATTCTTAGCCGAAGTGGAACCCACTCCCTGATCTTCTGTCTTCATGGTACCCAGGTTATATTTGAAGCTTTGAGAATATGAACCTTAGCTCTGAACCTGAGTCACTCTCATCCTGTCTTGATTCTGGGCCTTGAGTCTAGAAAAAAAATCATCATTCTCATTGTCTATATTTCTTCCCTGGGTGGGTTCTGCCCTGCCCTGCCCTAACTGGTGCTTCCTTCTCCTCAACCAAACCTTGCTGGCATAAGTCTCTAGATTCTAGAACTTCTATTTTTATGCGCACCTTGTTCTTCCTGTTTGTTTACCCAACCCCTCTCAACGTGTGAGTGTTCAGGTGCTTTGGGCTCTTCTGAGAAGCATGCTTTCTTCACCAGCAGTGCTGGGTGTGCATCTGAACATGGATCAGGAGACAGAGAAAGTCTGTCAGTGGCTTCTCATGGTGAGTGCCATCGTCACGCGCAATACAAGCTTTCAAATGGGCTCGTTTCTCTGGGGACAGGATACTTCTACTCCGCCCAAGTCAGTGCCCTGGGTCTTGCTTTCGACATGTTGGTGGATGGGATTGGGAACCGCTTATGTACTCCAAATCTGGAAAAACCTTTCTCTTTGATTATCTATCTATCTGTCTGTCTATCTGTCTATCTATCTATTTATCTATCTATCTATCTATCTATCTACCTACCTACCTACCTACCTACCTACCTACCTACCTACCTACCATCTATCATCTATCATCTCTGCCTTGCCTTTCCTGATCTTGGAGGTTGTCTGATGTCACTGTGTGCCTGTGGTAATCTTCCAGACACTTGCTTGTGCAAACTTGAAGAGCAGGGTAGTTATCGCCTAGATGTTCCAATTTTTCCGGTGGAAGTCTGGAATTGGGATAAAATGCTTTCTCCTTTCACTTCAGGCGAAACTCTTTTGAGGTGCCCTTCTTACGTCTTCTCAGAAAGTCTCATGTGAGCACATGTCAATTGTCCTTTGTGCTCACCTCCATTGGTAACCACGTTTTCCTGCCGTTACCTTTTGCCTTATCTTACTGACCCTTATAACTCATTTCTTCTTCTAGGATTTCATGTCCAATAGAGTACACATGTATAAGACTTTATTAGGCCCTGTTTTTAAGGAATGTAGGTTAAGATGCATGAACCATTTGTTGTATTTGGGATGCAGAAGGATGAACACAATTGCCCCATGGTGGAAATAAATGTCTAAGTTATAGAAATCATCTGATGAACCTCTATAAAAGATTGGCTCTAATCAAGATGTCTTCTTTTGATTGCCCAAATGCATAGTCATTAGCCACAAATTGTAATTGCCATCAAGTCCTTCACAACCCACGCATGTACAACAGAACAAAATGTTGCCATGCCCTGTATCATCCACATAATTATCAGCAAGTTCAAGTCCATGATTGAGGCTACTGTGCCAATCCAGTCTCATTGAGAGTCTTCCATGCCGTTATTGACTTATCACTTCACCAAGCGGTCATCCAGATGATCCATGAAAAGCAACACATCCAAAAATGTGCTTTTCTGAGCTGTAGGTCTTCATTGATGCATTTTGCAGGGGCAGATTCCCAGGCCTTCCTTCCTACCCTGGCTTCATCTGAGAGCTCTGCTGAAACCTGCCCATCTTGGGTGTTCCTGTTGTTATTCCAAATGCCAGCTGCACAGCTTCCAGGTTCACAGCCAGATGCAAGCTACCGCAGTACAATGTGTACACCTTAAAATTAAAGAAGTGAGTAGAAATTGTGGCAGAGCAGCTAAAAAGAGGAAGACCTTGGATGAAATGGATCGACATGGTGGCTGTGACAATGGGGTCAACTATAACAATGGCGAGGATGGCCCAGGATCAGGCAGTGGTTCATTCTGTTGTGGGTAGGGTCGCGATGAGATGGACCCCACTTGAAGGCACCTAACAACAAATCATAACATTTTGCCCCAGATTATACCTCAAATGTCTTATGCAAAAGCAGTACCTTGATCACTACTGCTGCCTCAGTGGAAATTGACCACCATCACCATGAGATTCTAGAATGAATTATACCTATAGCGTGAATACCCCCTTTACTACATACCTGTAAGATTTTAAAGTCAATGTAGATAAAATAACTTTATACACTTATACTAGTAGCATGCATTGTCTTTTCTAAAGCTTGTGTGTTCTGTCCAGAGGTACCACGAGGTTCTCTGGAAGGGAAGGAGTGTTCCTCTACTTTCTGGAGTGAATTGAGTGTGTCTACTCAGAACTAGGTAGCACACGTACTTGGGTCAATGTCATGGTTATAGCGCTGCTTCTGGTAAGGTTTATGATCTAGCGATGCTGTAGTGAGAGTCTTATGGTGTCACTCATATTCATAGAGACAGGCTGGGGACAAGGAACATAATAAATCTTGAGGTAGGTGAAATCATCACTTGTTTCTGGAATAGGAAGACACAGTGGCAGATGCTAGGTGCCGTCGTTCATAGACTTACTTCCACCTCAGTGATGCAGTATTTCTCCTGAGACTGGCACAGCCATGGGTGATTAGCTGAGAAAGAAGCTACTGGTTCCAGGGAATCATGCAGATTAGTGCGCAATTCTGAATTTGACCTTAGATGACCTTCTAATAATTTCTGGGACCCATTCATGCAGTGACAAATCTTACTGCTGCATTTGAAAATATTATCAAGGGCCAAAGGAGAACTCATACCTGCCCCCCACCCAATTCAAAGAAGCCACTTGGTCTTGGGAAAGCATGTGAGGGTAGCAGCCCAATATGCAACCACTACTCCAGCAGGGCTCCTTGTGTTTTCAAACAGGTAAAATATGTTTTATAAATAATTCAACTTCAAATTCTAGTGCAAAATGTAGAAATAATATAGCAAGATAAATACCATATTTTTCTAGTCAAATATAACCACTGTGTGCATAAACACATATATATACACACACACACACATTATGGTAAGTATACCATAACAAGATATTCTCAATTTTGCATTTCTGTAATATAGAATTCATTGAGAATGTTTGTGCTCCTGTTTATACTCTGCTGCATTACATACTGCTTGGTTTTTCTATTTATGCATATGTACATGCATTTAAACAATGTGCAATTATTTGTGATTTGGTCTTTTACATTCTATTGGTATTGCTTGAACATTTTTCTAGGTGACTACATTTTTTCCTGCTCTATTATTTGATGATCGTTTTGCATTCTGTCACACAGGCGCACAACCATGTATTGAATTAGCTCTCTCTTATTGGGAATTTATGCTGTTTCCATCCTATTTATTTTTTCATTATGTGTAATGTTGAAATGCTTTCACTGTCAGTAAATCTTCTGTGGACAAGTGAGTCATCCCCAGTGAAGTTCAGAAGGTTTGCAGATATTCACGGATCTGGATTCATTTTTCTGGACCACCCTCTTGAATGGTCCCTGGAATTGACACTTCCAGCAGCCACGTCTCAACGGCCAGTATCCTCACTCATGACCCTTGAATAGTCGCTACTCCTAGAGCTATTACTAACATTTCCCATCAAGCTAATGAGCCGCCATTTGAAGGCACCTGACTGTGCATATGCCTCTGGGAACCAAGAACATCATTCTCACCTGTCAGCTTGAAAATGACGCATCGCCTTTTAATGACCTATTGGAAAATTTCTGTCCTGGAGTTTCCAAATGACCCCGGAGTTCTTGCCAAGTTTCTCAGGAGTGTGTGTGCCTCACACAGGTGCTGCCTGTCACCTGCATGACACCCATTTCACATTAGAAACCTACTACCTTATCAGGAAACGGCATTCACTCCATAGTGACCACTGTAGCTCCTCCGGCATATTATAGTGACCTCTTTGCTTTGAGGGACTGCTCCCTAGTTTCCCAGTCCTGCTGAATCAAAGGTGTGGAAATCTTCTGATCACCCCAAAGCCCAGAAGACAAGGGTGAAAGAGAAAGAACCAGTCCCCAAGAGTCTGGACCAATGGACACTGGGTATGATTCAGAAGCACAGTTTTCGGGTGACTTTAATAATCTCATTCTGGACACAAGTCTTTATCTGAGGAGGAGAGAGGCTCTCGTAACTCCTGTTTATAAACCTCTTTTCTCCAACATAGCTGAGCAGCTCATCTTCAAGTTTGTTCAGTTTTGTGTCTTATCTGTATCCCTCTCTGCTCATAGTGAGACCAGCTTAAAATGTTCTCTCTGTGTGTGTTTTATTTCAAGAAGGATACTACGCATGCGTGTGTGTATATTGTATTTGTGTGTGTGTGAAAAAGAGCAAAGGTATGTGTGTTTTGTGCCAGTGTGAGTTTGTGTGAGGGTACATGTGTATGTGAATGGAGTGAAGTTCATCTCTTTTAGGCGTCTTCTAGAACTGTGGATTCTTCCCTCCATTTTCCTGCTACAGCACTGGGAATCATCACAGGAAAAATATTGGCTAAAGGCAATCATTCAGAGTCTCTATGTATAAGGTTGTTTGTGTAGTTTGAGAGAATCTCTCTCTTGTGTGTGTATAAAATGTCAAAGTTCAAGGATCTTTGTATCTGTGTGTGTTTGTGTCTGTGAGTGTTTAAGTGCATGCCTGTGTCTATGAGATGTCAGAAATGGAAGACAAGTGCAGAACTGATAATCATCCTAGAACATGTGTGAGCACGCCCTCTTCAGGATAACATTCATGAAAGGAAGCAACTGAACAGTGTATGGGTGATCTGGGGGTAAGATACTCAGGATCAGAGATGCCACTAAACTCAGGAAGACTCACTCAGGTCCAGGAGAAAGCCTTTTTCTAGCTGAGGCTGCCCAAAATAGGGAGCTTCTCAGCGGCCTTTCATAACGACCCATTGGCAGCCCAGGAATGTTCTTTATGCAATGCACACACAGACACACACACACACACACACACACATACACACACACACACACACCACCCTTTCAGCAGCAAATGCTTTATGACCATAACTAACTTCTCTCTTTGTAGTTCCTGCTTCAAGGGAGCAATGCAGAAGGAGGCTGAGTTGGCCAAGGACACACAGACCCACAGACTCAGATGTATAATTAAAAGTGCTTTAATGGAGACAGATTAGTGAAGCATGATTTAAGGCCTCCCCACACTCCTCGTCCTATGAACCCTGAGCAACTGGAAGACTAGCTCAGACAGTGAGACCCCAGCTTTATTCAGGGGGCTCTGGGAATCTGCTATTATTAGTAGAAGGATAATCTTTTCAGAGGGTACAAAGGAGGGATGTGACCCAAGCGTGACAAAACCCTCTTTGCAGGGTGAACAGGCATGGAAAGGGCTCGGCCTCTGGTGGTTGGCTCCTCCAGGGCATGGCTGAGGACGCCTTTACTTCTGCTTGGTCTTCTGCTGGGCTGGTGCTGGAGTGACTGTGGAAGGGCATGGCTCTGGAACCTTAGGGTGGCAAGGCTCGGGCACTTTGGTATCACAGGGCTCGGGCACCTTGGGCTGGCAGGGTTCAAGCACTTTAGGATCGCATGGCTCTGGCACCTTGGTGTGGCATGGCTCCTTGGTTTGGGGCACACAGGGTTCTTGGGGTGGAGGCTGGCAAGGCTGCTTCACCTGCTGCTGCTGAAGCGGAGGGGGCAGGGTGCAAGGCTGCTTCTGCTGTTGAGAACTCATGTTCCAAAGGTGGATGTACCTGGAGATAAAAGGGAATAAAGGATATAGTGGGACAGGAATTATTAGAGAATAAGCTATGCTCAGTGCCAAATACACCTCATCTCTGGTTCCTGTAGAAGACAGAGCTTCTCCTTTACCCTGGACACCCCCCTAAATCTGAGATTTAAGAAATGCTTTGCAATTTCTGAGACATTTTCAAAGGAGCTCGGAGCCTACAGGCTACTTGTTTTGCTCCATTTGAGACGCATTCATTTCTTAGCGCCCTGCTTTCTGGACGTGGGGCGCATCTCTCACTGACAAAACCCTCAAAGGAGGGAGAGGTCAGACGTTCTCATCTTAGGTTGTTTTGTTTTGTTTGTTTGTTTTTTTAGAAAATAGAACAATAAAACAACTATGGTTTACCAACTTCTACTTCCACAGGATACCTTGTCACTTGCAAATTCATTCTAGATTAACCTGAGCACCTGTGACGGGGCTTTCAGTCTTTGCACACACGCTCTCCTCGGCCTGGGACGCTTCCCTGCTTCTGCTTCTCCAGTGCTCACTGTCAGAGTCACCCCACGGGTTATCACTAGGAGTCCCTTCCACAACAAGTCTCCCCAAATATTGCCTCTGTCACTCCCTACCTGCCTCCTTTTAGCAATTCAGAACTGCTTTGCAGTCCACCTACTTATGCACTAGGAAGAAAGGTCTGGTGGTTTTCTTCCAGAAATTAGCCAATGAAGACCCTATGATTGGAGGTTCAATCAGCAATTGATCATGGGGAGGACACGGGGCAGGGTAGTGCTTCGTTTCGTTGTTCCTGGAGTCACCATGGGTCGAGGGGCTAATTCACTAGCAACTTTTCAGCTATTTTCTTCCCCGATGTATTCTAAGTTTGTTGAGGAAGGTCCATATTGGCCTGATTTACCCAGCAAGCACAGCCAGTGCCTTTAATGAGCGAAATGCTCACTAGAGATCCTTGGAATGAATTTAAACCTATAATAAACATCATAGTAAGGAGAACTGAGATGCTGAAAGAGCCCAAGCTGCTTGTAATTCACCATGAGCTCATGCACTGATCCCACCATGCTCTGGCCCCCCTTCCCTGGCACTACACTAAAGGCAGCAGACTTGCCCATCCCTTGGTCCCTTCCAGCCCAAACTGTGCTTTCATTACAAATAATCCTTCTGGCACCTAGCACTGACCTCTTACATCTGATTGTTTTTGTCCACTTTCCAAAAGACAAAAAAATATCAAGATGTTAAATCATGCCAAATCCCGGGCTTACCTGGAGATCCGAGGAAAATAAGGTTGTCTGGTCGTTCAAGTCTGGGGTGAAGCCAACGGACAGCTGCCTTTTATACACGGAATGAACCCTGCCTCAAGGAAATAGAATCACTCTGGGCTGCTCCGTTTTCATTCCTTGCCTGTCAAACATGATTCACCCTTGCTCCCCTCCCTCAATTACCTGTTGGCTCAGCTTTTGTGATGAAAAACCACCCACTTGATTTTTTTGGCACCAACTGTCCAACGATGATGTCACCTGGGCCTAATGCCCACAGCCATCGACCCAGAAGTAGAGTTGTACTCGGGAGGGATGGGCACCGGGCTTCTTAACGGTTTTGATAAGTTAACCCTTGATGGAGGTCTGAGCCTTTGTGTGGCAGGGTCACCAGTCTGGTCTCTGGCTCATTGGGAGGTCTGTTCTTCCATGCTCTGTGGGCTAGAATGTGCTTGAGGCAGACAAACTGGCAGGGCGGGGCAGATGACCTGGGGCACGGAGGTGGGTCTGAGTTGTTTGCTTTAGTTAAGCGGGAGGGGGAGGGAATGGAGTCGCTGAATTTAGATTCCTCTCTGAGGAACCCATCCATTCCATCCCCCTTTTCTCCCCGCCGAATTGAACTAGGCACACTCAGAATTCGTCACAGAATACTCCCCGCTCACCCACCCCTTCCTGTCAGGTTTTTCAGCTGGACAAACCTGTTTTCCTTTCACCGGCCACACCTTCACCCCTCTCCTACTCTGGAGATTTTCAATGTCTAATCTGTCTTTTGATATAACCTCTTCCCTCCACTCCACCCAGCCTCCTGGTCATGGCCCTTGACTTTTCTAACCCAAATCCCCACCTGGAAGCCTAAGATTTTTCTAACTATGTCCACTCCAAGCCCATCTGTGGGCTCCTCAATGCCACCCCCACCACACAACCACACACACCCACACACACACACACACACACACACCCCTCTGTCCATTCCACCTCTGACTACAAATACTTTCCTCATTTCTCTGGCTTTGAAACTCCTGGGGACTTTCTAAGAGGTAGAGCCACCACTTCGCAAACCAATGCTGTTCTCGTACTAATATTTATCTATTCATTTGCTCCACAAATATTAATGGGGCACATAATATAGATAGGCCATGACTCTTATCCTAGAAAATATAGAAGAACCCCACCACCACCACCCCCGACCTTCATTCCAATAGGCCAGACGTTCCTTGGCGTGAGGAATGTAGCAGATCTCAGAAGCACTGGGCATGAAGGGCCTCAGACAGCCTCTCGTGTGTACTCTTCAAGTGATGATAGGGGAGGATGAGTCCAAGAGGGGTGCAATAGCTCACCCAAGGCCAAACATCAAACCCCAGGAGCAAAAGGATTTGACACTGAAATCCAGATTCTCCTTTGTTTTAGCCCCACCTTTGCTCTCAATGCCTATAGAGAAAACGAAGCCTAGACACGAAAATGATTAAATATGGAAATCAGGGCACTCCTGGAGACGGGGAGCTGGGTCCATGCGTAGTTCTGAAAAAGCTCTGGGTGAGTGATAATTTGAGGACAGAAAGAACCTTGCCTTCTAGTTAAGCTCTTAATCTTTGTTTAGATGAATCCTTTCAAAAAAAAAAAAAAAGAATAAAGCTGCTTAATGTTTTAAGTAGCGTTAGGGATAAGTATTATTCGAACAGAGCTAGAAATATGAGAGAGCAATTATTAACACAGGTGGACGTAAGCAACACATTCAGTGTACTATCCCTCCGTGGACCATGGTCTGGGAGAGGAAGGTAAAGTGTAACATGCCTTCTTGGAACCTGAGCTGCTTTCACCCTGGAGGGAACTCATGATGCCGCAGTGACAAGCTCTGGGAATCCCATCAATGTCATACGTCAGGACAGTCGTGCTGTCTGAGCACCTGCCCTTCTGGTCCCTCTCTCCGTGGACCTGTGTGACATGCTGGGAAAATCCTGAAGACCCTCCTTGCTATAGGACTCACTTCGACTATGTGGGATTCCCTGAGTCCTTTGCCTAGACTTCCTCTGATCAAATAAGCTGAGGTGATTCCTTCAGACCTGCCCCAGCACCATTTGTTTTCAGGCGTGGCTCTCAGAAAATCCAAATCACTGTGAAAGCCCAGCAATGTGCAGGGTTCCTTCTCCTAATTCCACACACTACACCTGTCCCTCTGCAGACATCTAGATGTTTGGAGCATGGCCCCACAGCTGAGTTAACTCCCAGAATCAGGCATGCTCCCCACTAGTGTCCGTATTGGGTCATCCTACCCAGGGGTTCATATCTACTTCACAAGTTCTTGGGATGGAGTGGTGAATTGGCACTTATACACTGCATGACTGACCAAATAGATTGCTGGCATTATTTGTAAAGAGAGCCCTGGAAACTGCTTTGAGAAATACTGGGGATTTCCTTGTAAAGGAAACCGTACCTTGTGACTGGGCTCATGGGATTGACTGAAAGAGACAGACTCAGGAAAGGACAAACAGACTCTCCCGTTGCCTCCCCACCCATCTCCTTCATTGTCATCCAGGGAATGAATCACCTCCCTTGGAGCCCCTGCCGCTACCATCAGCATGCCTGAGCTCTAAGCCTCTCCGTCCCTGTCACTCGCCTCTACTTTGGGGCCAGGTGTCTTTCCTTTCATCACAACCTACTCTCACGAGCTACTCTGCAGGCAGGACTTGCTATTCCATTGGTTGGGTTCTTAGCTCTAAAGAAAATGCTTCCTGCCTTTCTGTTCTCTGTGACTACCCAGCTTGTCTTGTCCTGCATAATCTGAACCCAGCTCCTGGACCTTGGCCCTAAATGCAAATGGATTTCTCCCTCATTGGTCAGGAGTCCTGGTGGTTTAGTGAATACACCTTGGGCTGCTAACCGGAAGGTCAGTAATTTGAAGCCAGCAACTACTCTTTGGGAGAAAGATGAGGCTGTCTACTCCCATAAAGAGTTCCAGTCTTGGAAACCCATGGGAGCAGTACTACTCTGCCCAGCGTGGTTGCTCTTGGTCATGACTGACTCCATGTCAACGAGTTTGGTTTCATGTTGGCAGAAATCTCCTGCGTGCCTCCGTGGTTCCATCCAAGCAACTTCTCTGGCTCCAGTCTTGGGACCTTTCACTTACACATAACCCAGACCTGGTTCTCCCTGCCGGCTTCTCTGAAGCAACTTCACGGTCAGGCTCAAAGAGTCTTCTTTTCATCACAGACACTCAGTTTCTTCCCAACCAGGGGTGGGTAAGTTGGTGAATCTGATGCCGTATAGTCCCCAAATCAAGAAAGGGGAAGTTGTGGCTTCTAATCCCAAGGACCACCTCCCTGATTAGATCCTTTACATGTTAGGTTACTCCCTTTTTTGAACTTTCCAATGTCTCTGATATTTTTTCCTGCGTGGTGTCATGCAGAATTAGAGTTCCAAACCCTTCTCCATGGGGGCACATATTTAAAGCATGGCAGATGGTTCATGCACCTGGTTGCTAACTGAAAGGTTGGAGGTTTGAGTCCACCCAGAGCTCATAAATCTACTTCCAAAAGAAATAAAAACAAACAGCTATTGAAAACCCTTTGAGTGCAGTTCTACTGTGACACACATGGACTCACCATGAGTCAGAACTGACTCAATGGCAGCTGGTTTCAGCACCTAGGAATATGTGCTATTAAGAGAGTTTTACTCTCATCCTCCTCTGGTCACCTTTAAAGAGCTAGGATTCTGACTGCTCAATCCAGGCCATGGTGA